AGCAGCCACTGGCTCAGTTTTGTTCTTGAAATGGGCTGAGAAAAAGCTCTGGAAGCATCACTTCAGCAAACACTGCAGCAGCCAAACTCTACCTGTTGGTTTTGTCTTAAGTGCAGCGTTGATCTCAGTCCAATACCAACTAAAACCCAGAGAGAACCTCAATTAATGGCACCTAACTTCACAGGTAGCAACAGCCCAGAGCACAGACACCAAGAACAGGCCTTCAGTTAAAGCTTCAGCAGCAGCTCTATGAACAAAGAACCCCAAACTAAACCTCTGCTCTTTTTTTGGGCCTTCATCTATGTGTATGATGGGCTTCTCCAGAAAAAGCACAGCTTTGGAAGTACCATCAGGGCAATATCACCCTCTGTATCTCTGCTCCATTTTCATCCTAGCCTTAAATCACCCCTTTGGGCACTGTCCCAACAGCAAAGCTGCTGGGGGATCTGCCCACTCAGCCACCAGATCCCACAAAGCAGATGGACCAACGAGCTTGAAGGCTACTACTGCCCCAAGAGAGATGGCATTGGAAGTCTTATCTTAGAATTCCTCCCCAGATTACAGATGAGGTGCTTCTCCACATAAGGTGTGATGTAGAAACGAGCTCATTTTGGGGTTTGAATGTTCTGAATATTTGTAAGACACCCTGTGACTGAAGCTTTCAGTCATTACATGTGATTATTTCAACAGAGATCCACCAGGTCACCCAGGAAATCCACCACTAAATAAACGACACCACAAGAACTCAAAATACATGTGAGATTTAATAAAAGAAAAACAAAAAAAAGTACAAAGTGAGTGGAAAGAAATGAAAGTAAAAAAAAAAAACAAAAACAAACCCAAAACCAAACACCAACACATTTGGAATGACAAAGTGAACAAATGCAGCATGTCAAGAGGCTGTTCCCCCCTCCCTGGGCACATCCCCAAGGCATCTCCACGAGCCTGGAGCCAACCACCCCATCTCCACCCCAGGGCATCCACCACAGCCAGCTGTGAAGCCTACAGAGCTTAGAGCCCACAAAAGACATTTTAAATTAGAAAGCAGACAATGTACATGGTGGTAAATGTTGAAATGATTAAAAAAAAAGGATAGTTTTGCACATGAACACCAACCTTTTACAGATAAATGTATATAAACCAAGGGAAAGAAGTGTCACTGAACAGTTTCAGTCATTTCTGAAGGGTTTGTCTTTCACTTCTTCTAGCCTACAAGATGTGAATCTTCAGACTGGAGGGAGATTAGCATCACCATGTGTTTGTAACTTATTAAATAGAAGTGAGATACACACCTACCCTTCATACCACAGACTTAAATCTTGTCTCAGGCAAATCAAGTACTTGAAAGAAAAAAAAAACAAACCAGACATTTTGAATTTACTCTTTAAAATACATCTAACCTGGAGGCACAGCCTTAAAAAAGAAAAGTTGAGCTTTCAGCAGGCTCCTAACAAGCAAGCCAGAGTTTTACTCCATGAAAATAGGGCCTGCTCTGAAAGGTACCTGCAAGATCTTCATGAGGTTCTTTCTTACAAGCATCAAGCAACACTGACATGATTTTCTGGATCTCCATCTAAAAGGGCAACGTCCATAGGAAAAGAGTTTGACACCTGAGCATGTATTTAGAAAGGAAATTAAAGACATCTGAAGTCTTTAAGGAAAAAAAATATATATTCAGAAAAATCCTGGAACATTAATAACTAAATAAAGCCACACACCCTCACAACTGACACTTTCCTAAACTCTTAAAGAGTGGGGGTTCAGATAAAATATCTGCCTTCTTTTAGCCTGCTGTGGATGGATGGAATTGGGTCCAACAATTTTTCCATGACAACACAGCTAATAAGTCTCCACTCAGTTATCCTGCCCTCTCACAAAGCAGTCTGAGTGGAAAAAATAATATTGATCCTAATTATTCCTCTAAGCTCAGTTGCCCAGGGGGACCAGGCTGTGATTTCCAGGCATGAGGAGTGTTCCAGGAAGCACCTTCTAAGAGGACTAGAGCCTATCAGCATAAATATGTGGCATAGCTCAAGATTGGGGGATTCTCCTCACTAGGCACACAGTAGAGTTAAGGTTAAAGGGGAAAAAGTAAAGATGACAACTTAAATAGTTTCTCCACAACAGTAAAACACATTGGTCAATGACAACTGCCAAGTTAACACCAATCCTGTGGTTCCACATTGAGCAACAAACTCTTCTGAAAAAATCTTTCTAGATAAATGTCCTACTTTAGCAGTAAAGAAAATTCAAAACATTGTCCCATGAATTTTATTAGCCATTCTCTCTCTCTCTTTATATATATATATATATATTATAAATGATGTAGAAAGTGTTTAGAGTAATTCAGGATTAAAATATATAATTACTGGAATGGGGTTTACTCTAAGATTCCAAAGCCTAAACATTGTGTTTTTTCTACCCATCCTAAAAATTGACTCCAATGGAGAATTTGGTTAGAAAAATAAAGGTTTCAGCACTCCTCACAGCACTCCTCACATCCGTGCATGGCTGGGGGAAGGGAGCTGAGCCTCAGGCAGTCACCTCAGCCCATTAAAATTAATCTAGAAAGCAATTAAGCTGGTGGGTAAGAGGAGTTCAGACAAAGAGTTAGGGTCACTTCACACACGGCTGCTCAGTCGCTGGGTTGAGGACAAAACCTCTTTCTGTAGGGATTAGTTGACTTTGTTTAACAAAATGTACATGGTAAGGTTACTTCTTTAAAGCCTCCTGATAAATTCTGCCCAGGTAACAGCGAGTCGTGGCCTGGCAGCCACCAGAGATGCTCATTTTCTCTTTCACTTTGGTCCACTCACACCATGTTATGAGAAGGGTCACGGGGTGGGAAACTCAAGCAACTTAACACATGAAAGCACCAAGTCCTCTCTTGGCCTGAAAGTCTGTGTGTGATTAACTGAAAGAAACAAAACATAAAGAAGCGTGAATTAAAGTTATGAAAAATTAAACAAAAGCAAAATGTAGTGAGATATGTTAAAAAATAGGGGGGGAAAGGAAGGAGGGCAAACATTGCTCAGGCATCTGCAGACTCACAGACAAGAGCAACCCCACACCAGCACAAACACTTCTATTTCCCTTCCACACCTGCAATTCACCCATTTTTTACTCATTAAATCTATCAAAACCACCGTGTTGAAACAGGAGATGGAACCTCCTGGGTTCAAATTTGTGCCCTTTGCCCCTTGTCCTCTCACTGGGCACCACTGACCAGTCTGGCCCCAGCCTCTTGCCCCCCACCCTTTACATATTGATCAGCATTGATCAGTGCTCTCTGACATGCCTCCCTCTGATGCCTCCCAGATGAAGAGGGGGGGTCTAGGGAGACAGGTCACTGGCAATGCCAAGGGGAGGCACCTTCCTTTCAATTTCTTCTTAAAAATTTCATTCTGCTTAAGCAGAAACCCTCAAATCCCACATTCCAATCTCAGAGCATAGCAAAAGAAACCAATCCCAACCCCCCATCCAGAACCACTGCCTCTCCCTAATTCATCAGCTTGACTCTGGTGATGGCACAGCTCCTTTTGCTGTGCCCCAGAGCTGAAGGGAAACCCCCGGGCCCCAGCGCTGTGCCAAGGTCCCCACCAGGCAGAGCACATGCTGTGGGTGCCCCTCAGTCCTTCCCACACCTCCTGAGCCACAGCCAGTTCCTCATCACCCCTCAGAAGATGAAGAGGGTCTGGAGCCACTTCTGCAGGTGGTTAGAAACCAGCAGAGCCCCGGGGCAGAGGGGAGGCTGCAGTGCTGCTGCTGCTGCACATCTCCCTCCAAGCAGCCCCATGGTACCTGCAGCTCCCCCTCCAGCTCGACCTGGGCCCCAGGCTGCCCCCCTGTCCAGCCCCTCATTCATGGGTGAGTTTAGCTGGATTAAGCTCTATTTTCAGCAGAACATTTTACAAACTCTTTTGGACTCTGTGCCCGAGGTGGGACATGCCCAGAGGGCTGCAGAAGAGAGAGCTTTGGTTTTACCACCAACATGTTTACACCTCAAGGAAAGACATTAAATAATAGGCCCTGTTGTCTTCCAGGGGAAGGAGCTACATCAACACACACAATGAGCTTCTCTAGTGCTGCTGCTCACAGCAGGGAGACAACAGAGCACAACCACCAGCAGTGGGGAGCTGAAGACTCTGCTGTCAAGAGCAAACTCAGGCTTTGCTGCTCTCAGGGGTGGTTTTTTTTCTTCCCATCACCAAAAGGCTCAGAAAGCATTGCCACCAGCCTGGCCTGGACTTGGCAGAATGCAGTTCAGGCTCTTGAGCTCCTTCATGCAAGGGGAAACAAGAAAAAAATGCTGGATTAGCAGAATTACCAGCTCGCATGGTGGTGCTTCTTGTTTTGCTCCCTAGCCAACATTCCTTGAAGACTGCCTTGAATGGAAGCAGGGTCACCCCCCCTGCCTTCCCCCATCTTTTCTTTTTAAACCCATTTGCCCCCTTCCTGCTCTGTCACCACACAGCCAGGCAGCTGCAGGAGCACTATTTACATGCCCTCTCCACGCTCCTGCTGGCTTCACCCACCTCAATTAACTCACAGCAAGCTAAGATAAGAATCCTGCCTTTAGGGAAGAGTTTTCTCACAAGCAGAACTGTGTCTTGGAGCCCTATTTCACAATGAATTTCCAAGGCACCTTCACTGGAAGCTGCTGTTCCCTTCTTTACAGCTCTGCCTCTACAAATAAAGGAGCTGCACACTCCAAAGAGGGCCCTGAGATCACAGTGAAGTTGTGCACGACAGGGCACCTCATTTGTAAGACATTACAACGGTGTCAAGATTGCCCCAGGTCCTCCCTGCTGGGGAGAAGAAGCAGTTTGTTTGTAGTCACCTTCCCATCTATCTCCAGGCTGGCAGGATCCCTTGAGCTGGTTGTCACAGAGGCAAACTCCGTGGGACCCTCAGCCTTTAGGGAGTGGTTCCAGGCTGTGAATCCCTCCCACCTGCAGCCCTCAAGGGCAGAGGAGAAAGACTCGAGTTCAGCCACTTACTTTTTCTTGTCTTTGTCCTTCTTCAGTGGCTGCTGTGAGGTAGCCTGCAAGGATTGGGACTGCAAGGTTTCCACCGCTACTTTCCGCCTGTTGAAGGCGTTCATCTCATCCTCCAGCTCCCTCCTCTTCTCCTCCACCTTCCTTTTCTCCTCCTGGTGTATCCTTTTTAAGTGCTCAAACTTCTCATGCAGCTGGTAGGAGACAGACCCTCTGAGCATGGCCTGCAGCCCCCCCCCTGGTGCCACAACCACACCTCCCACACGAATCTCACCACCCCAGTGAGACCCACAGCTGGCCCTGGGCTACAGTGGCCAGTGCCCCTGCACCCTGCCAGCCCTGGGCAGAGCTCACCCCTGGGCAGAGCTCACCCCTGGGCAGAGCTCACCCCTGGGCAGGCTCCTCAGCAAGAGCAGTGAAGACACAAGAGATGCAGCCCTGCCTGACACCATGTACTGACCCTGGGGTAAGGGCACCGAGGGTCTCAGCTCAGCCTGAGGCCCCACCGTGGCCATTGTGGCTCTTTGGGTCCTCCCCAGCCATGAAGATGGTCCTTTTATTTCCTCCCCAGTCCCTGCAGCTGCCCATGGCCTCAGCACTGACCTGAGGGACTGCAGCCCAGCTGCCCAGAGTAAAGGACTCTGCTGCCCAGGGAGCCTCCAGGGGTGAAGTCTGGCTGACGTGGATGCTCACCAAAACATCCTGCCTTGCCCTTCACCCCCCAACCAGCAGCCAAGTCTCCTGCACACTCACAGGATGGGGAATGGTTGGTTCTGAGGCACCTAAACTAGGGATGCTGTTCTGAAACCACTACCCCCTGTCCCCTCCTCCAAGTGGGGGAAGGGGTGTGTGTGTTTGTGCTTTGGCTGGTGAGGGCTGCTCAAGAGCTGCACATGCTCTCCAGGATTCAGATGTTGCCCAGACCCAGATCCTTCCTATGCTGGCTGTATTCTGGGCTCCTCTCATGGGTTTTTTTGGCACACCAACCTCTCTCTCCTTCTCCTTCAGCTCTGCCTCCGTCTCCTTGACTTTGTTAACAAACATTTGTCTCATTTCTTCCTCTTTCTTCTGGAGCTCGCCCAAGAACTCCTTCCTTTTGGTCTCGTATGTTTCTTGGAGGCTGGGGAAGAAAGCAAACAAAACCCAGACCCTTTGGATACCAGCAGCTGGAGTTCAGGGTGGGAGATGGATGCCTGTCTGCATTGCTTGAAGACAAACATGCAGGGAAGGGAAGCAAAGTCAGCTGCAAATCCAGTGCTAGTATTTTCCAGCCCAGCCTTGTGGACGCTACCTACAAACCTCCCGTTTTTGGGGGCCATCATCACCACACCATAGCACTGAGTTGCTGCTGGCCCTGAAGAGCTCTCACCTGAAGGGCTGGCTGTCTGGATCCGTGTCCTTGAAGCCCATCTCCTCCAGTTTGCACCTCCTGTAGAGCTCGTAGTGGCGGGTGTGAGTCTGCTCCCGCAGGTCCTCCATGTTCACCCGGATCAGCATCTCCCTCAGCTTCACAAAGTCACAGTGACTTTCATTCTCCACTGGTGGGAGCCAAGGGCCAAGTCAGCACCCTGCACACACGCTGAGGGAGCCCAAAGGCACTCACAGATTAACTCCAGGGATTCCCCCACTAAAAACTCTGCTTGCTGCCCCTCTCAGGGCACACCACAGCCCCTTGGGTGCAGGGGTTCCTGCGGACCATCACTACCTGCTGGGAGGGTTGAGCCCAAAGGACAGCTTGGCCAACCCACCAAGGGCTGCACGGGACGTGCCAGCCCCGTGCAGGGCAGGGCAGAGCTGGGGAGGGTGCCAGGGGGTGCACGTGCACACACACAGGAGGTTTAGGGGGGTGCCCAGCTCACAGCACCTTACCTTGCACCACTCCCCACGGGTACTGCCGAGCTCTCACCAGCTTGTTCCCAACTTTCACCTCCTCCGTGCTGCCAACCACAGCAAAGGGCAGATGAGCCTGAAACAGAGCCAAGGCCAGGGGCTCAGAGCATGGAATCAGAGAATCATTTTGGCTGGACCAGACTTTAAGGTCATCAACTCCAACCATCCCCCAGCCCTGCCAGGTCCCCACTGCCCCGTGTCCCTCACACCCCATCTCCATGGCTTGGAACCCCCTCCAGGGGTGGGGACTCCACCACTGCCCTGGGCAGCCTGGCACAGCCCTGGGCAAC